GTCAGAATATTTAGGGTTTTGCCCTGATACTGGCAGTCCTGTTGTTGCGACTTTCGTAACGAAAGTAGCGGAATATTTGTGCTCGGGGTGGTTTTTTTTCAGACAAATTTCGAACAAATTTGTAACTAGCCTTTTAAACAGAATTCTTTTTTATCATTCGAAAAGTATTGCTCTCTTGAAATTAAATTTTAACAGATATTTTAACCTGCAATCATTTTTTAAAAAATTTATGGGGGGTTTAGTTTAAAGTGCATACGTTTTTTTAACACTGATTACTCTTGTCCGATCATGCTGGGATATTTTTCAGTGATTAATTGCGAATAAACGAAGTGAAAACACTTGTTTAGGTCGTGTGATTGGTTTTTGTTTTCTTTGCTTCAGAAAATAGTTTTTAAGTTTGACAGGTTAAAATATATTATTGTTTCGACTTTCGAAACGAAAGTAACGGTATATTTGTGCTCGGTGTGGTCTTTTTTCAGACAATATTCGAACAAATTTTTAACTAACTATGTTTAACCAAGTTTTTTCATATCATTCAAAAAAGCATTGTTGTCTTGAGCCGAAATTTGAACAGATATTTTTACCTGTGATCATTTTTCAAAATGTTTGGGGGTTTAGTTCAAAGAATGCCATTTTTGCCAATTTGGGACAGTTAACGCGCGATACACTTTGCGCTATTAACGCGTAAGCGGATATTTGACCCGTCTTAGAACTAGTTCAAAATTGGTTGAAAGCACATTATGCGCCATAGTAGATTTGTTGCACAATCTATCATTTTGTTCTTTATGTGGCTTGTTGGGGGATGTTTTCACAAAAAATGTTAAATTTGAAATATATATATATATATATATATATATATATATATATATATATATATTTTACATTTAAATTTTTCATGTTATTACTGCTCCATCGACCTTAAAAGGCAATAGGAACACTCAGTGCTTAAACCTGATACGAGATTAACATGCGTTTTCAACTGAGCTCACATGTAAATAAAGTGTCTTATCATTCAAAACATGCTTTCTTTCCACCAAAAACATCTTTTTTTTAGTTGATGTTTCCTGTGACAAATGTTCAAGACTCTGTTGACATTTTAAGGCTTTTTCAACGTATAATTTTTTGCATGTTTGATGAAAAAAATTTTGCACGGTTAATCTAAATCGTATTTTGCCTTGCTTAAGAAACATCACTTGGCTCATGTTTTAGAAGTCCCTATGTTGATCTGTCGAAAAGCCAAAACATTACAAGAGTTACAGATAGTTTTTTCTGCGTGGTAGATAAAAAAAGGTTTGAATGAAAAAATAGAGCTGAACTATATTTGACCTTGATAGTTAAATAGGCCGATGGGAAAACAATTTTCGTAAAAAAATACTAGAAAAACAAAAAAATTCGTTACAAAAATTTTCAAATAATATTTCATTTTTTTTTGCAGTAGTTCGTTGAATTTTTCTTATCGATTCACAAATTGGGGCTTAAAAACTCCAAAAACTAATTATACTTCAAAAAGACTAACATCTAATGGCATAAATGTAGCCTAATTAAGCTTTGTAAGCCTCCGCGCTCAAAAAAAGCCAAAATTATACAATTCAAATCAGTTTCTCTCGACAGTTAAAAAAGTTCAAACTACAACTGAAAGTGATTTAATATGATATATCACCTAAACCATTCCGATGATTAAATATTTTACCTGATTTTCCGGGGAAAACGAAAATACAAAATGAAATAACTCTTAAACACACCTGAGTTCAAAGTTTCTCTCAAACTCAAACCATTTCAAATCAGTTTCTCTCGACAGTTAAACTACGTTCAAACTACAACTGAAAATGATTATATATGATATATCACCTAAAACATTCCGATGATTAATTATGTTGCCTGATTTTCCGAAGAAAACCAAAATACAAAATGAAATAACACTAAAACACACCTGAATTCAAAGTTTCTCCCCATTTTCACTGGTCAGAACGATAAAGAAGTCTCGATATAAAATATGGAAAGAGCAGTTGCTTGCTGTCAACTTTCTCTCGGCCAGATTTCTAATATATAATTTAATAAATCTAAAAAGCAGTTGCTTGGTAGGTTTTTTTTAGAAATGTTTTGGTTGTTCTCCAGCCAGACATAGCGTGATCATTTCTAAAAAAATCAATGAATTGGAAAACTGGCCTTTTTTGCAACTCGTTTCTTTTGAGGTTCAGAAGTAAATTCACAAAAATAATTTTTCTACTATTTTACCAAAATGTTTTACTACCAGTTTTTGTCAAAAATGTTTTGGCGGTTTCAGCAAAAAATTCGCTGCTAGCATAGCAAATTAGCGCATCAAATTTTTTCCAGCTTTTTGATAAAAAAAACAGGGAAATCTAAAATTTAATTTATTCTTAAGACGGTTAACTTATAATTTGAAACCACTGTGGAGCCTTTTCAAACATCTCGCCCATTGCAACTCATTGGCCATATTGAAAATCCAATCCCGGTCCGTGGAAACCCGCAGGACGTTCGTTCGATTGAGAAGTTTGAAGGGGTGAATGAGAAACTAATGCTTTCTCGACCTGATCCTACTTTTGAAATAAATCGAGCTGTTATTATGTTATTTTTTGAACTTTTTTCTAATTCCCTGACAGAAGCCAAAAAATACATACGTTTTTTAACACTGATTACTGTTTTCCGATCATGCTGGGATATTTTTCAGTGATTAATTGCGAATGAACGAAGTGAAAACACTTGTTTAGTTCGTGTGATTGGTTTTTGTTTTCTTTGCTTCAGAAAATAGTTTTTAAATTTGACAGGTTAAAATATATTATTGTTTCGACTTTCGAAACGAAAGTAACGGTATATTTGTGCTCGGCGTAGTCTTTTTTCAGACAAATTTTGAACAAACTTTTAACTAACCATGTTTAACCAAATTTTTTCATATCATTCAAAATATCAAAAAAGTATTGTTGTCCTGAGCTGAAATTTGAACAGATATTTTTACCTGTGATCGTTTTTCTAAATGTATGGGGGTTTAGTTCAAAGAATGCCCTTTTTGCCAACTTGGGACAGTTAACGCGCAATATACTTTGCGCTATTAACGCGTAAGCTGATATTTAACCCGAATTAGAAATAGTTCAAAATTGGTTGAAAGCAGCTTATTCGCCATAATAGATTTGTTGCACAATCTATCATTTTGTACTTTATATGGAGTGTTGGGGCGTGTTTTCACACAAAATCTTACATTTGAAAATATATATATATATATATTTTTACATTTAAATTTTTCATGTTATTACTGCTCCATCGACCTTAAAAGGCAACCGGAACACTCAGGGCTTAACCGTGATACGAGCAGTCTTGTTTCAAAATGTGTTGTATTCTGTCATCAGCGCAGCGTAGTGTCATTAAACGTATTTCTGTTTTTTTTCTTATCGAATTGCACACAAAACGTTACATATCATTGGTGGCATTTTTGCAGCAATATCATGAACGACTCACTTAGGCAACTTATTAAAATACATGGTAACCTCCAATTAAAACAGAAACAAAAACTGCCAATATGAATCATTTTCAAGGCTAACGTAATTAAAAAATTTAGCTAAGGTTTATTTAAGTAACTTAATGTACCTATTTTTAATCCTCAGATCACGTTTACTCTGTCATTTCACGCTAAACTTCAGTTAGAAAAAGCTCAAAAAGCCAAACAAAACGCTAAAATTTACTAGAAACAGAAAGATTTCAATGGTTCTTTGGACCACGTGAACATTCTCCCCCTAAACTCCAAAAACTAATTATACTTCAAAAAAACTAACATCTAATGGCATAAATGTAGCCTAATTAAGCTTTGTAAGCTTCAGCGCTCAAAAAAAAGGCCAATATTATACAATTCAAATCAGTTTTTTTTTTGACAGTTAAAAAAAGTTCAAACTGCAACTGAAAGTGATTTAATATGTTCTATCACCTGAACCATTCCAATGATTAATTATTTTACCTGATTTTCCATGGAAAACGAAAATACAAAATGAAACAACTCTAAAACACACCTGAATTCAAAGCTTCTTCCAAACTCAAACATTTCAATTGATTTAGGCAGGAGAGACTTCCCTTGGTTAAAACATATACAATTCAGCCAATCAAATTTAAGAATAGTACATGCAGGTCTTACAGTTTGAGTTTGCCCTTTAATTTTGGACTGGAGGTTGTTCACTTGGTCTTTTGGGGGGAGATTGATCTCATGGGCCGAATTTTTTCTTGAACTTGAATTGGCACTGGAAAAATTTGACTCAACTGAAATGGTCGGAACAAGAAAAATGAAAACCGGAAGCAATTAACATCTCGCAAACACTATCAAAAGCTCAATCGGCATTTTTTATGAAGTTTCAGCGAAAACAATTAATATTTAATTTATTTGTAATTAGGAATAGCAATTGCTTAGCTTCATCTCATCAATGGAATGAAAAATCTGAAGAAACAACGTTTTTTTAAACTTATGGGGGTTTAGTTTAAAGAATGCCTTGTTTGCCGATTTGGGACAGTTAACGCGCGATATACTTCGCGCTATTAACGCGTAAGCTGATATTTAACCCGTCTTAGAACTAGTTCAAAATTGGTTGTAGGCAGCTTTTTGCCATAATAGATTTGTTGCGCAATCTATCATTTTGTACTTTATATGGCGTGTTGGGGGATGTTTTCACAAAAAATCTCAAATTTGAGAAAAAAAATAATTCATTTTTTTAATTCCAATTTTTAATGTTATTACTGCTCCATGGACCGTAAAAGGCAGTCGGAACACTCAGGGTTTAACTCTGATACGAGCAGTCTTGTTTCAAAATGTATTGTATTCTTTCATAAGCGCAGCGTAGTGTCGTTAAACGTATTTCTGTTTTTTTTTCTTGTCGAATTGCACACAAAACGTTTCATTTCATTGGTGGTATTTTTGCAGCAATATCAAGAACGACTTCTTTAGGCAAATTATTAAAATACATGGTAACATCTAATTAAAACACAAAACGTTTCATTTCATTGGCAACTTATTAAAATACATGGTAACATCCAATTGAAAAAGAAAAAAAAACTGCCAATATGAATCGTTTTCAAGGCTAAAGAAATTAAAAAGTTTAGCGAAATTTTATTTAAGTAACTTAATGTACCTATTTTTAATCCTCAGATCACGTTTACTCTGTCATTTCACGCTAAGCTTCAGTAAGAAAAAGCTGAAAAGCCAAACAAAACGCTCAAATTTACTAGAAACAGAAAGATTTCAATGGTTCTTTGGAACACGTGAACATTCTCCCCCTAAACTCCAAAAACTAATTATACTTCAAAAAAACTAACATCTAATGGCATAAATGTAGCCTAATTAAGCTTTGTAAGCTTCAGCGCTCAAAAAAAAGGCCAATATTATACAATTCAAATCAGTTTTTTTTTTGACAGTTAAAAAAAGTTCAAACTGCAACTGAAAGTGATTTAATATGTTCTATCACCTGAACCATTCCAATGATTAATTATTTTACCTGATTTTCCGTGGAAAACGAAAATACAAAATGAAATAACTCTAAAACACACCTGAATTCAAAGCTTCTTCCAAACTCAAACATTTCAAATCAGTTTCTCTCGACAGTTAAACTACGTTCAAACTACAACTGAAAGTGATTATATATGATATATCACCTAAACCATTCCGATGATTAATAATATTACCTGATTTTCCGAGGAAAACGAAAATACAAAATGAAATAACACTAAAACACACCTGAATTCAATGTTTCTCCCCATTTTCACTAGTCAGAACGATACAGAAGTTTCGATATAAAATATGGAAAGAGCAGTTGCTTGCTGTCAACTTTCTCTCGGCCAGATTTTTAATATATAATTTAATAAATCTAAAAACCAGTTGCTTGGTAGGTTTTTTTATATACATGTTTTGGTTGTTCTGCAGCTAGACATAGCGTGATCATTTTTTTTCAGCGTTTTGATGAAAAAACATGGGAATCTAAAATTTAATTTATTCTTAAGACGGTTAACTCATAGTTTGAAACCACTGTGGAACCTTTTCAAACATATCGCCCATTGCAACTCATTGGCCATATTAAAATCCAATCTCGGTCCGTAGAAACCGCAGGACGTCTTGAGAAGTCTGAAAGGGGTGAATGAGAAACTAATGCTTTCCCGACCTGATCCTACTTTTGAAATAAATTGAACCGTTATTATGTTATTTTTTTGAACTTTGTTTCTAATTCCCTGACAGAAGCCAAAAAACGCATACGTTTTTTTATTACTAATTACCGTTGTCCGATCATGCTGGGACATTTTTCAGTGATTAACTGCGAATGAACGAAGTGAAAACACTTGTTTAGGTCGTGTGATTGGTTTTTGTTTTCTTTGCTTTAGCAAATAGTTTTTAAGTTTGAAAGGTTAAAATAAATTATTGTTTCGACTTTCGAAACGAAAGTAACGGTATATTTGTTCTCGGTGGGGTCTTTTTTCAGACAAATTTCGAACAAATTTTTAACTAACCATGTTTAACCAAATTTTTTTATATCATTTAAAAAAGTTTTGTTGTCCTGAGCTAAAATTTGAACAGATATTTTTACCTGTGATCATTTTTCAAAATGTATGGGGGTTTAGATCAAAGAATGCCCTTTTTGCCAATTTGGGACAGTTAACGCGCGATATACTTTGCGCTATTAACGCGTAAGCGGATATTTAACCCGTCTTAGAAATAGTTCAAAATTGGTTGAAAGCAGCTTATTCGCCATAATAGATTTGTTGGACAATCTATCATTTTGTACTTTATATGGCGTGTTGGGGGGTGTTTTCACAAAAATCTTAAATTTGAAAAAAAAATTAGATATATTTTTTTTCTACATTCAAATTTTTCATGATATTTCTGCTCCATGGACCTTAAAAGGCAATCGGAACACTCAGGGCTTAACTCTGATACGAGCAGTCTTGTTTCAAAATGTATTGTAATCTTTCATAAGCGCAGCGTAGTGTCGTTAAACGTATTTCTGTTTTTTTTTCTTGTCGAATTGCACACAAAACGTTTCATTTCATTGGTGGCATCTTTGCAGCAATATCAAGAAGAGGCAAATTATTAAAATACATGGTAACATCTAATTAAAATAGAAAAAGTTCTGCCAATATGAAACATTTTCAAGGCTAAAGTAATTGAAAACTGTAGCTAAATTTTATTAAGTAACTTCACGTACCTAATCCTCACATCACGTTTACTCTGTCATTTCACACTAAACTTCAGTTAGAAAAAGCTGGAAAGCCAAACGAAACGCACAAATTTACTAGAAAAAGAAAGATTTAAATGTTTTTTTTTGGACCAAGTGAACAACTTCCCCCTAAACTGATATAGGGGGAGATAGTTTCCTTGGTTAAAACATATACAATTCAGCCAATCAAATTTAAGAATAGTACATGCAGGCCTTACAGTTTAAGCTTGCCGTTTAATTTTAGGATGGAGGTTGTGCACTTGGTCTTTTAGGGGGAGATTGATCTCATGGGTCGAATGTTTTCGTGAACTTGAAATGGCACTGGAAAAATTTGACTCAACTGAAGTTGTCGAACAAGAAAAATGAAAATCGGAAGCAATTAACATCTCGCAAATACTATCAAAAGCTCAACCGGCAATTTTTTGATTAAGTTTCAGCGAACACAATTAATACCTAATTTATTTGTAATGGGGAATAGCAATTGCTTAGCTTCATTTCATCAATAGAATGAAAAACCAGAAGAAACAACGCTGTTTTAGATAACACATTTCGCATTTTGAACTTTAACTAAGCTTTCAAAACTAAAACGCATAGACATTAACTGGCACACAGAGTATTTAGGGTTTTGCCCTGATACTGGCAGTCCTGTTCTTGCGACTTTCGTAACGAAAGTAGCGGAATATTTGTGCTCGGAGTGGTTTTTTTTTCAGACAAATTTCGAACAAATTTGTAACTAGCCTTTTTTAACAGAATTTTTTTTATCATTCGAAAAGTATTGCTCTCTTGAGATCAAATTTTAACAGATAATTTAACCACCTGTGATCATTTTTTAAAACTGATGTGGGGTTAAGTTTAAAGAATGCCATTTTTGCCAATTTGAGACAGTTAACGCGCGATATACTTTGCGCTATTAACGCGTCAGCGGATATTTAACACGTCCTAGAACTCGTTCAAAATTGGTTGAAAGCACATTATGCGCCATAATAGATTTGTTGCGCAATCTATCATTTTGTAATTTATCAAATATTTTACCTGATTTTCCGGGGAAAACGAAAATACAAAAAGAAATAACATAAAACACACCTGAATTCAAAGTTTCTCCCCATTTTCACTGGTCTGAACGATAAAGAAGTCTCGATATAAAATATGGAAAGAGCAGTTGCTTGCTGTCAACTTTCTCTCGTCCAGATTTTTAATATATAATTTAATAAATCTAAAAACCAGTTGCTTGGTAGGTTTTTTTATATAAATGTTTTGGTTGTTCTGCAGCCAGACATAGCGTGATCGTTTTTAAAAAAAATCAATGAATTGGAATACTGGCCTTTTTTGCAACTCGTTTTTTTGAGGTTCAGAAGTGAATTCAAAAAATTAATTTTTCTACCTTTTTACCAAAATGTTTTACTACCAGTTTTTGTCAAAAAAGTTAGGGCGGTTCCAGCAAATAATTCGCTGCTAGCATAGCAAATTAGCGCATCATATTTTTTTCAGCTTTTTGATGAAAAAACATGGGAATCTAAAATTTAATTTATTCTTAAGACGGTTAACTTATAATTTGAAACCACTCTGGAACGTTTTCAAACTTCTCGCCCATTGCAACTCATTGGCCAATTTGAACAGATATTTTTACAGATATATATTTTTTTCTACATTCAAATTTTTCATGATATTTCTGCTCTATGGACCTTAAAAGGCAATCGGAACACACAGGGCTTAACTCTGATACGAGCAGTCTGAATTCAAAATGTATTGTAATCTTTCATAAGCGCAGCGTAGTGCCATTAAACGTAATTCTGTTTTTTTTTTCTTATCGAATTGCACCCAAAACGTTTCATTTCATTGGTGGCATTTTTGCAGCAATATCATGAACGACTCACTTAGGCAGCTTATTAAAATACATGGTAACCTCCAATTGAAATAGAAACAAAAACTGCCAATATGAATCATTTTCAAGGCTAAAGAAATTAAAAAGTTTAGCTAAATTTTATTTAAGTAACTTAATGTACCTATTTTTAATCCTCAGATCTTGTTTACTCTGTCCCTTCACGCTAAACTTCAGTTGAAAAAAGCTCAAAAAGACAAACAAAACGCTCAAATTTACTAAAAATTGAAAAATTTCAATGGTTTATTGGACCAAGTGAACAATCTCCCCCTAAACTGATTTAGGGAGGAGAGAGTTCCCTTGGTTAAAACATATACAATTCAGGCAATCAAATTTAAGAAAAGTACATGCAGGCCTTACAGTTTGAGCTTGCCGTTTAATTTTACGATGGAGGTTGTGCACTTGGTCTTTTAGGGAGAGATTGATCTCATGGGCCGAATTTTCTTATGAACTTGAATTGGCACTGGAGAAATTTGACTCAACTGAAATTGTCGGAACTAGAAAAATGAAAATCGGAAGCCATTAGCATCTTGCAAATAGAATCAAAAGTTCAACCGGCAATTTTTTTTATAAAGTTTCACCGAACACAATAATTACTTAAATTATTTAAAATTGGGAATAGCAACTGTTAAGCTTCATCTCATCAATAGAATGAAAAATCTGAAGAAACAACGCTGTTTTAGATAACACATTTCGCATTTCGAGCTATAACTAAGCTTTCGAAACTAAAACGCATAGCCATTAAAAGGCAGTCAGAATATTTAGGGTTTTGCCCTGATACTAGCAGTCCTGATGTTGCGACTTTCGTAGCGAAAATAGCGGAATATTTGTGCTCGAGGTGGTTTTTTTTTCAGACAAATTTCGAACAAATTTTTAACTAGCCTTTTTTAACAGAATTTTTTTATATCATTCGAAAAGTATTGCTCTCTTGATCTTAAATTTTACCAGATATTTTAACCTGTGATCATTTTTTTTTAAACGTATGGTGGTTTAGTTTAAAGAATGCCATTTTTGCCAATTTGGGACAGTCAACGCGCGATATACTTCGCACTATTAACGCGTAAGCTGATAATTAACCCGTCTTAGAACTAGTTCAAAGTTGGTTGAAGGCAGCTTATTTGCCATAATAGGTATGTTGCACAATCTATCATTTTGTACTTTATATGGCGTGATTGGGGATGTTTTCACAAAAAATCTCAATTTTGAAAAAAAAAATTTCATTTTTTTCTACATTTAATATTTTCATGTTTTACTGCTCCATGGACCTTAAAAGGCAGTCGGAACACTCAGGGCTTAACCCTGATACGAGAAGTCTTGTTTCAATATGTATTGTATTCTTTCATAAGCGCAGCGTAGTGTCGTTAAACGTATTTCTGTTTTTTTTTCTTGTCGAGTTGCACACAAAACGTTTCATTTCATTGGTGGCATTTTTGCAGCAATATTAAGAACGACTTTTTTAGGCAATTTATTAAAATACATGGTAACATCTAATTAAAATAGAAAAATTTCTGCCAATATGAAACATTTTCAAGGCTTGAGTAATTAAAAAGTGTAGCTATATTTTAGTTAAGTAATTTATTGTACATAACTTTAATCCGCAGATCACGTTTACTCTGTCATTTCGTGCTAAATTTGTGTTAGAAAAAACTAAAAAGCCAATAAAACGGACAAACGTACAAGAAACTGAAAGATTTAAATCATTTTTTGGACCAAGTGAACAATCTCCCCCTAAACTGATTCAGGGAGGAGAGAGTTCCCTCGGTTGAAACATATACAATTCAGGCAATCAAATTCAAGAATAGTACTTGCAGGCCTTATAGATAGATAAACCGTTCAAAACCCGCTTAAACCGCTCATTTTGAAGCAAGATTTTGAGCGCAATCGTCTAAAAAAACCGCTCAAACCGCTCAAATCTTACTTCAAATTAGGTGAAAAATCTCGACTCGGGTTCTTTTCCAGATTTCTGATTTTGTTGAAAAGTACTCTTGTGCATTTAATTGATATGAAAGCAAGCCGAGTTTTCCGGTACTTAAAATGTTCAAGTGTCATTTGCTAATAAAATTTAATTTGCTTTAATTTCAGTTCAATTTTGATTGCTAAAAGGAAAGCAAATAAGATTCTCCAAATACGAGAGTGCAAAAAATGACCTGCTTTGGGGGTTATACTCATGGGCGAAGGCCCAAAAAGAAAAACAGTCGAAAGACATTTATTACAATGAAAAATTTGCGTTCAATTTAAAGGAATTTAATGCAGCAATAATTTTCTTCTTTTATAGCGAAATCTTTGAAATATAAAATCTGTTCCAATTCGCCGGCGTCAGTATTACAATATGAAAAATTAGCACTTTTCCACCGTTTTTATATTCAGCCAGTATAAGTATTAGGTCCCTGGAATAGTTTTTTTTTAAAAATTTTACGCTTTTTTTTCCAAATTTGGCAATACTGCAATCTGATTGGGTGATTTTTGTTTCGCCCATTTGATCCTTCGTCTATGAGGAATTCCACCAACTGCTTTCACTTTCAAGAGTGCACTTTAGTTTTCAGACTTGCCGTTAGAATAAGGCGCTTACTTTTGATCCACATTTCTCCAATTGTGCTAATTTTCTGAAAAAATTTCAGTCATGAAATATTCTTGAAGTGCAGAAATATAACTCAATTTTGGGTTAACTTGGATCCTCAAACTGTCATTCTCGTGGGTTTGTTTGAACTCATTGGCAAAGTGCCGACTCTCTGTTGACTATTTTGTCTTTTTTATTCACTTAAGTTCACCATTGTTTGGACTTAGATCTCATTATGGGAAAGCGTCGTAATGCAATCAAATGTAGATATCATTACAAGGCCAAACTGTGCACTAGATAGGCGCAACATTTTGTGTCTGTATGTTACTGGATTCCAGAGATAAGTTTTTAAACATGCTAAAACTTTGTCGGAACGTTCAAAAAAATGAAAGAACAAAAGAAGAACAAAGGGAGCGTCCTTGTTGCGGAATCCGCTTACAATTCACAAAATGCACAGTTTGCTCTCGTAATGATTATCATAACAAAATTTTTTTTACTGCTCAATTTTTTTTCAATTGATTTGTTAATTTGTTTTGATAGCAACATTTTGATTGTTTAGAAAAAATTACTAGTAATTGAAAAAAATTTTAATGCTTGCGATTAGCAAGCGTTTTCAAATCGGAATAGAAATTTTTTTCGAGTTAACAAATAGTTTTAAAAAATCAGTTGAGTCACTTTAATCCTGCTATGCAGCTGACATGCTCAATTTCACGAAGTTTCATTTTAAACTATTACTACCTACTACTTGGGTACTAATTTACTGAAGCAAATTTTCTCACTTTTTGCAAAAAAAAATTTCTTTTTTCTTAAAAACCTCATACCGATTTTAAAAAAAGGGTATCCATTGAAAGACTGCCTACACCATTGTGTGCCTGTTTACTCTTTTGGTCACTTTTTGCTTTACCCTTTTGTTCACGGTCTTCAAAAAAGCCTGTGGGGTGAATATTTTACTGATATTTTTCACTTTGTTTTATCATTTTAAAAAAAACTAACCTACCAATTCTGCAATTTTGGATTCAATGATTAGACAGAATTTGAAAAAATTCCTTCAAGAAGCGGCTACACCCAAACTTTTCTACACAAATTAACGTCCTCGGAAAAGTCAATCTTTTGTTTTTGAGCCTATTTTTTCTAAACTTTATGAATTTTACCAGAAAATACCCTCCTATATCTGAGATTTTGGCCTCAATTCAAAAACATATTGTGGAAAACTACTTTGCCTACGCGTCTACGTCCAAACTTTGTTGGCACAAAAAATATAAGGTCCTCTGTAGTCAAAGTTTTGGATTTTGACCGTTTTTGAAACCTTTCGACCTTTCGACATTCCTCGAGAATTACCATGCCAAGTCTGAGTTTTTGTTTCCAATCGAAATTTCAGGCTGTTTTTTTCCGCAGAAGTGGCTCCAATTTTTTTTTTAATTAAAAAAGCTTTAATATTCGGAAAAATCAAAATTCTGGTTTGCTGACCGCTTTTTGTATTTTCTCAATAACTATCTTGCCAAACCTGATATCATAGGTTTAATCTACACAACAGGTTGTTCGAGGCCTAACTTTATATTTTGGTACGCTCAGATCCTTTTAGAAAAAAGTCATTGCCTTCAAGCAAGTGAAATTTTCTTCTTATTTATTTCGAAAATTATCGCGCCAATTCTTACCGTAAGTGTTCAATCGAGAAACCAGATTTTAGGAATATTCTCTACTTCAGCGGCCATAACGTGCTATTAGCAGAACAAATTTGCAGATATCAGAAAATCAAGTTGTTGAACTTCGATTATTTTTCAAAAATTTTTTGAATTTTCTTAAAAACTACCCTATCAAATTTGAGATGCAAGTTTCAATCGAAAGACGCGGTTGCGCGAATTTTTCCTGTAGAAGCGTTTACTCCTTAACTTTTTTTGTAAGAGGAAAATTAGATTTTTGGGAAATTCTAAGATCTCAAATTTTTTTTACTCTTCTCACTTATTTTAGTTGAGAAATAACTAAGGTTTTGGGCAAAGTCTAATTTTTGAAATTATGCATATCGTCCCACAGCTGGGGCCCTCGGTGTCATTGATCGATTGACGTACGAACAATTTTTCAACTTTTTTCTTTTTTACGACTCTTTTTCTACGATGTTTTTTTTTCTATGATTGTGTTGATCGCAATCGGTGCAAAGTTCCGCTTCGCTTCTGTGTCACCAAATTAGTTAGCGTTTTTAAAATTTAAAAAGTAACTCACGCTAACGTTTGATTTCTACCACTTTGATTTTTAGTTACTTTTACTTTTAAAGCTTACTTTAAATTCATTTGCTTAACCATTTGAAGCTCTGATTTCGCTCTTCAATTACAAAAGTTCGAAAGAAGCAAAAATTGAATTTTATTTTCCTTAAATGTGGATTCATAAACCAACAGACTTTTTACGAGCGTATTTACATTTCAAATTCCCGTTTTATTTGAAGTTTTATTAATGTTGATTATTTGTAAAGAAATTTATTCTTCCCGTTTACGAGAATATTTTGGTAGATCTACTTTTTTAATAAGCTGCTTCCGTATCATTTTCTGTACGCTAGCTTACCATTATGTTTTTGAGTAGCTTGGCAAGTGGTGCAAAGCTCCGCTCGGCCTTTGTGTCAAAATGTGTTATTATCTAATTTAATATCTAGTATTATTAAGGCGGTAGAAAAAAGTAAATTGGCCACAATGAAAATCATGTAGACTTAATTCAATTGAGTTGGTTGCTCATTTGCTGTTCTTTTTCTATCTACTCGAAAACAACATACGTTTTGCTTCTTTTTCACCACTAGCTAACAAAACAATTGCTGGTACAGTTGCATATTGCATTATTAAAACATGACGACGCGAGTCTTAACGGCTGCCAATAGAGTTGCAAATTTCAGCGCAGAAGCTGAACAAAAATGGAAAAAACAAAACTCTCTGCGGAAAATCGAGGAAAAGTACAAGTCCAGTCAGTTGCACCAAGATTATCTGATGGAAAAATTTAGAAATTTGGAGTTGTTGGCTAACGAGACTATAGGGCCGGATGACTCGGCTAATAAAGTGATACAGTTCCACCTGGATAAGATGAAGGACGTTGAAAAGATAAGAGATCACGTGAAGACCGCTGCAGGAGAGCGGAGACAGGTCAGATCCCAGGTGAGCTTGAAAAGAGCGTAACTAGGAGTTTAGTTCCATCCAAACTATGTCCATAATTTATTTTAAAAAGAGTAGTCGGGCACCGCAAAAGTAAACTCCGAATTTTCCGACTAGTTCTCTTAAGAGCAATTGAACTATAACAAGTGTAAGTTTGCATTGTATTGCTTCTTTTATTGTGTATACTCGAAGCATGTTTATCTCGTTGCTGTTGCGTACGGGTTGACAAAAGAGCAATTTTTCTCGACACTGATTTAACTTTTTAAATATTTGTTTTCAGTTTTCATATCACGGCTATGTTGGCCTTGATGTGCTGCAACAATTGACACCCTTTCAAAGTGATTGAAACAGAAAAATAAACTAAAATGGTGGATTTGGGGTGGCGGTTCCGCGTCAGAGATTCTTTAGAACTAATTTCCGGCTAAAGCTTTACTGGCAAAAAAAAACAATTTTTCTCAAGAGTGAGTTAACTTAAAAGTTTTCTTATCGGAATTCATATCATAAATCTAGTGGCATTAATGTGATGCCATACCTTACAACCTTTCGAAAAGAGATCGAAACAAAAAATTCACACTCTAGTGGATGGATTTAAAAGGCGGTTTTCCTCCCCCCACCCCTCCTTACAGGGATTCGATCACCTCACCACCCAAAGGTTCCCCTTTAAAAGTTTTCAATATTCATTTTGAACCGGACCCTAAAAATGCTCTTCAGGACCAAACTTTTACGATCGGATTTTTATATTTTTCTAAGAGATTCGCGGCAAACAATTTGGTCGGCCTAAAAAGAGGTTCTAGAACTGAATCCCCCAGGATAAAACCCAACCGGATATAATCCCCCAGGACTAAACCCCCGTAGGACCAAATCTCCCTAGGACAAAATCCCCCAGTTTTAGTTCAAAATGCCCCACATTCGAATTGAATAAAACAGCGACACTAAAACTTGAATTAAATGATTAAAGTTAATTAACAGAAAAAAAGTAGACAACTTAAAGACTAAAAACTAAAAGGACAAGTTAACAACTATGGCTTTAAGATAATCCAACTCTTTGTAGTTAGCGGCTGAGCATTCAATTTTCTTTGTCTTCCCAAGTTTATCCCCTTTCCTTGTATGAACTTTCTTGCCGAGCTGCATTTGAACAAAACTAAAAGTTTGTAGTGACTGCTGCCTCTGAATCGCCTCAATGAATTTCCATATGTCAGGATTTGACATTTGGAGCATGGATTCGAATCCACGGTGGAATCCTTCTAGGGCATTGTTTGTCCTGGGGAGGTCGTCATTGGTCCTGAAGTAAACGTTTAAATGGAAGTCAATTCAAAATGGAAACAATAGAAACATGAAGTTATATAATGTGTACAATTTGATTTCCATCATACTGAATAAAATATGAGGGATTTTGTCATTGGAAGATTTGATCCTATGGGGTTTTAGTCCTGGGGGATTATATCTGGTGGGGTTTTATCCTGGGGGGTTTAGTCCGCGAGCGCTAAAAAGGTGGGCCAAAATTTCAAATTTTTGTTTACATCCTTTCTTGAAAAAATCATTGATCTGCGCTTGAATTCCGATCTGACGTTCGCTTAACGTTTGCCAAAATTATTTTGTGTAATTTAATATTTTCTGGGATTTAATAATGTTCCTTACTCAACTTTGTTTCTAAAATTTGAGAGGAAACCCATGAATTACTTTTTGAATTTCAGGGATCTAAGCGGCAATCAAACTCCAACAATCAGTCCCAGCATTCAAACGAAAAAGAACTAATGCTTCAAGCAAGAATCTTGAGTGCCAACAGGCAAAAAAGAAGCGCCCAAAAAGACATCCGAAAGTTTCTCGACCGAGCACCGCCTCCTAGAATGGTAATCAAAAGAGGTCAAAACATGGATGGTATAGGGTTCGAAACTGACTTAAACTATTTCTCAGTTTGCGGGTTGACACAGCCGAGCGACAATGCTGTCAAGCTTTTTGCGAAAGATTCTGACAATGTTTTTATAACAAGTAGTAAGTGCTCAAAGGTTATCGCTGAGCAAGCAGTTGCGAATCCTTCGAAACTCAACCGAGTGTTGGTAGGCAGGAATGGACTTGTTCGGACTGATCAGTCGGCACTCGGCAGCGCAAACGGACTCCGAAAGACGGCAAGGAGTTCGGATTTTAATGCGACGAAATTGTCGGATACTTCATACATGGCTGAAATCCCGGCAGATGTTCCACTGTCGTGGAATGATCAGCTTCGTAAAGAAAACGTTGTTGTCAAAGAAGTTAAGAGTGAGCCGAAACTAGCTGAAGAAATGGATAAGGCCACAGTCTATAAAGAGAAAAAACTTCAGTTCAAAACGCTACTTGAGGAAGAAAATCTGGAAGGTTTGAAAGCTAATTCCCTGTGGCAAAATGCAAATGAGAACTACTCTTACTACGCCGACTATACGCCGAGTGAATCTGATAGGTGCTCCCAAACTGATTCGAGATACGACGACGACCGAGATGATTACCTCACAACCCAAGAGATCATCAAAATGGTGGCGAATAAGAATCGAGAGAAAATGAAACGAGAGACGAAAAGCGCGAAGCCGAGACTAGTGTCCAGTCCGACTCAGAGCGAAGAAATTGAACTTCCAAAAATGGAAATAAATTTTGCACAGGCAAGAACTGATGAAAGATTTCGGGAAAATGGTAGCAAAAAACCGACGGCTACGTCGAACGAAAGTTCGCAAACGACAACAGTAAATTCACGTCTGCTTCGAGCGCAGACTGCAAAACCTTACACTAATTGGTACCCCACAACTCTAGACGTATATCAGTCAGCCCAAAACTCCGAGTTAAAAAATAAGGATCGTCGGCAAAAGGAACGCCCAACAAGACATCGGCCAATGACTGGAACTCACAGGTACCCGAACACCGAGCCGAAACCTCACAAAGCCTACACGCCTATAGTTTTCCCCATGAACTATATAGTTGCTCAAAGATCTATGATGACCAATGAAAACCAAGTTATAAATGTCATAATTGACTCTGATATTCACGACCAGTTTAGTTCCTTTGCCGACCCTCGCGAGATCTCTTCGGCTCTCAGCAACCGACCGAAGTCCACTTCGATGTTTCCGATCGCTCGTGGCGATACTGCTGGGTCGACAAGCTCGATGACCAGACAAAGACCGAGTGGCTCTGTGCATGAAAATAGAACAGATACCGAAAGTGAACTGTGGGGTTCGGGCGGGTCTCTGAGTCGCAAAGCGGGAGGTTTTCGTGTTGGGTCCCGTACCGGAAGTGGGAACGAGGAAAGTGACCACGAGGAGATAATGAATTACACAGAGGGTATCAGGGTTCAAATCGCATCTAAAGCTGCTGTCACCAACCCACCTCCTGCACCAACTCCTGAGCCATCTGGTTTCGTCTCACCTTTACACAACTCACCGCGCAGAAAGTCTTCAAAGAAAGTGCGAATCAATGGCTACTAGTGTAAAAACTGATTAAGTACATGTAAATTCTATAATTTTGTTGAACATGCTTAAAAAAATTAAATGATTCAAAGATTTTCTTAATTATTCAAAGCAAAGTAACTAGTTCCACTGAACGAAGAAAGTTCCTACTACAACTGTCTTTGCAAAAAGAATAATAAAAAACAACGAATGCTCATATCAGGGAGAAATCCTGAAGGTCCCGACTGCCCTTTAAAGTCTATGGAGTAGTGTTCGCATGAGAAAAAATTCATGAAACTTTCAAACAAGAAGTTGAAAACTTTTTTCAGATTTTTTTGCGAAAATCATTCCCCCACACGCTATGTAAAGTACAAAGTAAAACATTTAACATATCGCTAAGTATTAAATAGATACGAAAGCATGCCTCAAATCAATTTGGATTGATTTCTAAGACGGATTAAATCTCACATATTGCGCGTTATTTATCCCAAATTGGCAATCTTTGAAGCCCATAACCTTAAGAAAAATGGGTTTCTTGTCAATCTACCCAATTTCAGTTTACCTTATGCCATTCTACCCTGTGCTAACTTATCATATGCCAATTTACCCTGTGCCAACTCACTCTGTGTTCTATGAATACCCGCATCCAAGTTTAGGCGTAAATAATTGATTATAACGGATTATTATGATGATTTTTTGACAATTATAATCAATTATAATTACCAAAATTAGGTCCTTAAGGGATTTATAATTGATTATAATCGTGATATTTTCCAAGAGATTATAATTGATTATATTTGAATTATATCTTATGGGTTATTAATTTTGTGTCAATAAGTAAATCTCTAAAAGAGAGATCTCTTGAACACTTTGGTTCATCTGAACACAAATACCACGAAACAAAAGTTTCATAGAGATCCTTTCATATGAGTTGAAAGGTTCTCGCGGTATATGAAAATTAAATTTTCCGGATCAATCATGAGACTGAATCAATTTGCTGATGTGTTTGGTGTTTAAAAAAAGCTTAAAATATGCATCACAAAACAACCCCAATGTGGAAGAAATGAAAAAAAAAATTATAATTTTGAATTAATTGGAAAACTTTAAAAATATTTTTCTCATTTTTCATAGAAACAACCAATGTCCACAACAAGCATAAAATTTAAGCAATTTAGATGCAACTTCGAAGACAAAAATGGACAAAAAAAGGGATTATAATCAATTATTATCGATTATAATGGATTTTTGTGCAAAACTAATGAAATTGAAATATGAATAAAAATAATGGATTATAATCAATTATAATCGATTATAATTGATTATAATTGATTATAATTTGATTTTAAAAACAGTGATTATAATCGATTATTAATTGATTAAAATTGATTGTTTCTCAATTTTTGTGAGACTGGTACTAAAATCGTAATATAATCGATTATTAACGCTTGAAACTGGATGCGGGTAGTTCATTTGGTCAGAGATAAATGAGACAACTATCTCGGTTTAAGGTCGCCAGTTGGCGTGCATCACCGCTTCGCGGCGATAACCGGCTCTAATTGTCGTATAGAGTCCTAACCTCTGTAAATAATTTTGCAACACGTTCGCCCGACTGCGGCGAGCACTATTTTGCTGTTATCATTCTGGCTTAATTTGGGCGAAGGGTAGATTGGCATAAGGAATTTGATATTTTGGGTGAAATGGCTTAGGTTAAATTGGTATAGGGTAAATTGGAATAAAGTAGATTGTCCTGATCCCAAAAATGACCACAGGTGAAATGTATTTTTTTTTAAATTTGAGCTCAAGACAACAATACCTATCGGTTAACATAAAAAAATTCCGTCAAAAAGGGCTATAGTTCAAAAATCAGAACTTGTCTGGAGAAAAAACGAACCCGAGCACAAATATTCCGTCATTTTCTTCGGGAGTCGGAAGAAATATGAAAATCAAACTTTATTGAAATTATGAATCTAACTGAAGGGAGCGTTGCTTGAGTCTTCAAAATATTGTTACCGATTTTTTTTGGCATTTTTGGTCCTTTTTTCAAGATAGAAACCTATTTACATAATTGTGAGTTTTGTTGGTTAACACTTATTCTTTTTCTAATCAGCACAAAGGATGTGTACCCTTGTTGCTGATAGTTTTTACAAAAGTTGCAAACTCTTACTGTATGTAAATTCGAAATTGCTACATAAATTAAACTTGCATAAAATTTTGTTTTCCTAAGACAAACAAGTTAATGTATGAAAACCATGCGTTGAACGAGTTAGTTTTAAAATTCCCGCATTGCTGCCTTTCCATGAGCAAAAATGATGATTCACTCTGCTTTCATTTCTGGAACATTGGGTTTTTTACAATGATTAAAATGAATTATTTTTGTCTGGGGAATCCATTATAACCAAATAGAATCCATGTGCGCTCGGTGAGGGCAGGCAATTGTTTGATTTGAAATTTTTATGAGTAGGTTTTGTACCGCGGTAATAGTAAGTGATAACTTATTCGTACCCAGTATACGGGGCTAAACGCGGGAGGGGGGGGGGGGGGGGTAAACTGGGGTGCATTGATTAATTGCCTGATTGATTAATTTCGACCAATCTACTTTTTTTTAATGAAAATCTAGCTATTTTTAAGAATTTTTGATCTATTTTAAAATTTTCATGCTCAACAAGACACGTTACATTTTCGGTTTTTAGCAAAAAAAATGAACTTCAGATCTGAAATTTCTTAATTCTTATCTAGGATCTGAAATAACGAATTTCAGATCTGAAATTCAACTTATATAAGAAATAAAGAATTTCAGATCTTGTATAGAAAATCCACCGAGCACGGGCGTTCATGGATCTGTCAGAATACTTTAATATTCTTTTAAAATCAGAAGCTTTGCAGACAAACGTCGAGTCACAATTTTTCGAAATATATTTTTTTCAATATTCTTACAAGATATGCATTCATAAAAGGCATTCTTGAAACTTGACTTGTCGTCTATATAGCCAATTTTTCTTCAAATATTGCCATGAGCTAACAAGAAATGCAATCAGCATTATCCCACAGACAAGCAAACCTTTATAATTTTTTTTGAAATGCGCAATCTGCTGCTCATCGTCCCAAGGACTCGTAATTACGAGACCTATAAGTTTATTCAGTGTTGATTGAAACGACTTGAGAAAAAGTTGAATACTGGTCTTGTTTTCGTTTATAAATCCTTCACACTGAACTAAACAAAAACCTAAATGGTTTTGAACAAACAAAAGAATAAGTTAATAAAAATATATAATTTCTTTGTGCTAGTAAAATGTGCAAGGTAGAGCAAACTGTTATAGGACCTTACAAGTCATTTGCTGAGAAACTTTAGGTGGGGGCTATTCTCATGTGCGAAAAACCGAATGGGCGAAAAAATTCGTAAGCAAAGGACCGAAAACAAAATTGGCCGAAAGTCAATTTTTAAAATGAAGCAATTGCCATTCAATTGAAATGAATTAAATAAAGCAATATTTTGAAATATAAAATTCGTTCCAATTCGGCAGCAGTCACTGACTAAGTGGAAAATTTGCATATTTCAGTCGTTTTTATATTCGGCCAATTTCAATATTCAGTCCCTAGAAATGTTGACTTTCTTTCCAAATTTTTGATTTATGAAATCTTATTGGCTGACTTTTCTTTTCGCGCATTCGGTCCTGCGCGTATGAGGGATTTCACCACTTGTGGTACGTTCAGTTTCTGATTTCCATAATTTTTCTGATTTCTTTCGTCATATAAAATCTTATGATGATTAGGTAGTAATGTTCACAATCATTATATGGTCTTATACAAAAAAAACTTTTAAGAACTTATAAGATAACTGGATTGACATTCAAACAAGAAAGATGCTCGTCAGACAATTTCATACAACGTATCTGCACGAGGAATCAAAGTGAAATTCTGTTTTTTAACCTCTGACCGAATTACTGTGTTAGAAGACTTTGAACAATCTTAAAACACAAAAATGATCAAAAGCATAAACCTGCTTGGTCTCAATCCCTCAACCATTAGCTTAGCAGACATCTACGTTAACTTTACGCCACAAAAGTTTAGTTTTGTGGAAATCATAGGATTTTTTTAAAGTCCACACTCTCACTTGAAAGCTATTTTATATCGATTTAAAATAAGACCATTTATCTACGAGGGAAAGGACAAACATACGAGCTGTAGAACGGCTGTTGTGCCCCTGCTTAAGAGTTACATGCATTTTTTTGGTTATTTTTCTGGGCTGGGTTATGTTGACTCTCCCTCAAGCAACGAGCACGGAACCTGGTGATCCTCGAACATCCGACCATTTGATTGAGAGGCGGAGACGTACGCATTTCACCACCGCTTCCCCTTCACCAAGCCACTAGATAGATTTAAAAATTATTAAGTTATAGCTCCAATTTTCTACGGAATCCTTACTGAAATAGCCCTGAAACATTGCAGTATAAGCAAAAAAACTCTGAATTATTCATGAATCAGCACCGGAAATTAGCGATCAGTGACATACTTCAGGTGAAGCAAAAACTAATAGTAGGACTTCAACACGGTTGGTTCAAAACTCAAGTAACTCAAATTTGTGGCTATTTTTGTAATATTAGAGCTGCTTAGCTCTAAAAAAAACTTTTTTTTTGATTACAAGGATGCTAATCACACAATTTTTATACATAAAAAATGTATGATAAACATTTTTTTCATAGAACAAATAAAGCATTGAGGTTAATAAGATGTGCGCTTTTTTTATTGCAAACTCACTTCTGAGCTCAAAAAAAACTTTTTACGGAAAAAAATTGCACATAAATTTTGATATTGTGTGTTATAAAGTATAAAGTAGTGCAGGCGGAGTTTAAAAAAACACAAAATGAAGAGAACGTGTTTAATTTATAAAAAAAGGAAATTAGTGTTTCTTGTTTTTCTATGCTAAGTAAAACATGTATCTTTATTAAATTCGTCAAGTTTTTTCAACCACTGAACTCCTTTTTCAACTTTAGGAAAATTACGCTTTTTCTTTATTATGCTGTGTGCGATATGAGCAAATTGTTTATTATGCTGTATGGCAAATAACACTAAAAACAGTTTACCTG